AAAAAAAAAAAAAAAACCTACATAAAATGTATTACATAAAAATTATAAAAATGGACCAATATAAGCTTAAAAAAAAAAAAGGTGTATTTTTTGGCCTTCGGGTCATTTTGACCCGCGAGGGACAATTTTGTTATAGGTTTGGGCGGGACGGATGAGGGTTAAATCATATTTCTATCATTGACGAAAAAAAAATTGTATTAGGCTACGTTAAAATAAAGACCAATTTAATTAGCTTATTCTACTTACGTTTGTGTGTGAAGTCGAAATCAACCACAACTTTGCTTTAAAATACATCGCAACTAATAGATCTGTTTTAAGACATTTTTAAAACACTTTCAATGAGGAGTAGCCTAAGCTAATAGCCTAATCTTTTATATTCCTCACAGCGCATCAGTTATGCAGTTATCAGTGATGCGCTATGCGCCATTAAAAATATAGCACTTCAAGAACGTTATGCTAAAAGCATACTTACTATTAAGTATCAGCGTTTTGTACACATCATCATCTCAGATCCCTCTGTAGTGGACAGAAAACAGAAATGTGACAGTGACCAAGCCATAACTTTGTTTGAAATCTAGAGCAAGTGTGAAGTCGAAATCAACCACAACTTTGCTTTAAAATACATCGCAACTAATAGATCTGTTTTAAGACATTTTTAAAACACTTTCAATGAGGAGTAGCCTAAGCTAATAGCCTAATCTTTTATATTCCTCACAGCGCATCAGTTATGCAGTTATCAGTGATGCGCTATGCGCCATTAAAAATATAGCACTTCAAGAACGTTATGCTAAAAGCATACTTACTATTAAGTATCAGCGTTTTGTACACATCATCATCTCAGATCCCTCTGTAGTGGACAGAAAACAGAAATGTGACAGTGACCAAGCCATAACTTTGTTTGAAATCTAGAGCAGGGTTTCTCAACTCTGGCTCTTGAGGTCCACTTTCCTGAAAGTTTAGCTCCAAACTCACCTGCCGGTAACTTTCTAGTAAACTGAAGACCTTGATTGGTTTGTTAAGGTGTGTTTGATTAGGGTTAAGCTAAACTCTGCAGAAAAGGGGACCTTGAGGGCCAGAGCTGAAACCCTCATCTAGAGTCTATCCTCAGCTCTTAGAGGTGGTGCAGTACATTAGTAATATGTTAATAGTGCTATATGAGGGTAAAAGGGAAGTGCAGCTGTAACTACAACCACAGTCAAACAACTCAGATAGGAAGAGAAACGTACACAGTGGCCATATATGCAATGATAAAAAATATTCTGCCTTTTATTTGGGTTGTGGGTTATTTTAGTATTAAATGTTGTGCTGTGTTTATTACTAATGAATCCTGTTTATTATTTGTAATGGCACAATTTATGCTTTCTGTAGCTGTTTGTGTTGCTTTTCTTTTGTTTCATGTGCAGAGAACAAATTGAGAAGTGATTTATTATTAATCCTGGACATGACAACGGTTTGTGTGTTGTTAATTTAGGTGTTGAATGCGACTTTGGAGGGTCAAATATTGTATGAAATATAAAGATGGGAGGATCTGTCACCATCCCATGTCATTATGACAAGAAATACACACAGCAGAATAAATACTGGGTCTCAGAAATCAATAATAATAAAAAAAGAATATATTTAATATAATATATTTAAATAATATAATATATTTAAATAATTTCCTCATTGCCTTCGTGATTTTCTTTTCTGTTTTTCATCTTTGCAGAAGTGCAAGTGTACTTCACAAGAATACACCTGAAGTCAATGACAAATCACAAAAGAACTACATCGGTGTTCTTTAAAATAAAATAAAGCTTAAACAAATTGACTATTAGGCTGAAATACATTAACAGAGTTAAATAAAGGCTATTTAAGATGTTGCTTATTTTCTGGTACTTTTTATGCAGCTGAATTATTCCCACATCATTTTTGGAGCTCTTTAAATAGCAAGATTGTAAAATGTTTCTATATTTCCCACAGATATAATGAACTCCTGGCTGTGTGGCTTCCAGTTTCAGCTGCGCTTCTGCTGTTATTGATTCTGATTGTTGTTTTCATCTGGAGATGGAGACAGAGACCCAGTCAGTTTGACCTACATTTTTATCTGTTTGAAAATTCAGTTCATTCCATGCCGTTTTATCATTTATTTCAACAGCGCAGATTCTATATACCGTATATCAATTCTGTTCATGTCATGTTATTGTTTCTCCTTTTTTAAAATGAAGAGCAAGATGAACACCAAATCGGAGAGATAAACAGCAGCACAACCATTGACACAGTAAGTCCTTTAATTTATGAGAATGTAGTGATAATATTTGTATGACAATATCAGTGTATTTTTACATTTTTTCTTAATTGCTTTAACTCTGTTTTGAGACAGTCTTAACGTTCTGTAAACTGAACTGTTTTATGCGACTTCAGAGCTATTACTATTAACTATTACTATTACATGTCCGCAAATGTAAGTAACTCGCACAAAACATTTAATTCATGCTTCAAATCCTAGTTATTGTCTCAGTAAAAATGCCACCAAAATGAAAAGTTTTTTTTTGTCTTCCTGTGAGCTGTACTGGTCAAAATGTCTTTACGCTATTTAATTTTTACTGTACTTTTTTGTTGACACTGACTGCTTACTATAGTATACAAAAATGTCAGTTTTGCTATCTAAGGTGCAAATCAGACACCACAGATGCAAATCAGAAACACACCATGGCATCAGTTTAGTGCTCTTGCCAAGAAAGCAAATTTCACATTTGCATGTCCATTTTTACACATTTCTTCCTAGTTCCTAGTGAACAGGAAAATAGCCACAAAATTACATGCAGGGAAGCTCTATATGCTTCCAAACATAAATGTTTCATTTGGTAAGACAGTGATTTGTTACTATGGCAGGTAATTTTCCCATTTTTAGCAGACATAATACACATTCCTGTCAGACTCTGTTACGTGTTTTATGTGTGTTTTGCTCCTCATGTGTTTCCTTATTGCCCATATTTGGTTATGTTCCTGTTCCTGTCCTCTCCATTATTAGTTCATTAGTATCCACCTGTGTTTGTTAATTATCTTGTTTAGTTTGAGTATTTAAGCCCTGTGTTTTCCTGTATCTAGTGTCCGGTATTAAAGTCGATGTTGTGGCTCTTGTGTGTCACTACCTGCCTTGTGTTCCCTGCTTTGTGTTACCCCTATTGGATTGTGGATTAAAGAATGTTTATTTTGAGTTTATCCTCGTCTCCGTGTTCTTCGTTTTGCCACAGAAGGCAACCGTGACAGAATACCGGACCAATACAGTAAGCGGTGCCCCTTCTCCTCGTTTTGTTTTTTTTCGGTTTTGAAAGTCTTTTGTTTTCTTGTTTTTTCTTCCCGCGGCATGGAAGTCGCCGCTCGTTTTTCCGCCTTAGCCCACTGAGATCTCCCCTTCATGGAGTAAGCGTGGGAATTCTACAGGATCACTGCGAGTACTGCGAGTCCGCCTGCCACTCATCAGTCAAGTCTGCCGGCCGTTCATCAGTCAAGCCTGCCGGCCGCGGCTCACTCAAGCCCGCCGGCCGTTCATCAGTCAAACCCGCCGGCCGCCCTATTCACCTGTAACCAGAAGAGGAGAATGATGGATGGCTCATGGACCTCTTCCTCGCCCGAGAACGCCCCCCGAGAGCTCGCTCCAGTGTCGGCTCCAGCCCCAGAGTTCGCTCCAGTATCAGCTCTAGCCCCTGACCAGAGTCAAGTCATGTCCCCTGGAGCCATGTTTGAAAGTTTTGTTGTGTCCATAGGAACAGTTCCAGTCGGTCTAGTTGGTCTTGTCTTGTCCATGGAGGCTCATCTGGGGCAGGCGGCTTCTCTTGTCATGGCCGCGGAGGCCATTCCCAAGCCACTTGCTTCTCCTGTTGCTTCCAGGGAAGCGGTTCCTGAGTCTAACCCTGAGAGGGCCCCTGACTCCACGTCCAGCCCAAGGAGGGCTGTTGTACTCATGTCTTGCCCAGAGAGGGCCTCAGATTCCGAGCCTAGCCCAAGGAGGGCTCCTGTTCCTGTGTGTAGCCCAAGGAGGGCTCCTGTTCCTGAGTTTAGCCCAGAATGGGCTCCTGTCTCCACGTCAAGCCCAGGGAGGGCTGCTGTTCCCCTGTCAAGCCTACGGAGGGCTACTGTTCCTGAGTTTAGCCCAAGAAGGGCTACCGTTCTTGAATTAGGCCTGGACAGGGTCGCGGTCCCTATGTCTGGCCCACGGAGGGCCTCAGAGCACGTAATCTTCCCCAAGTATTTTTTTTGAGGGGGGGTATAGGGCTCCAGCCGTAGAGGCCGGGTCAGGAGTTGGGGCCGCGGCCTCGGAGGCTGCTCCGCCATTGCCTTCTGAACTGTCTGATCCGCCATGGCTCCCCGAGCTGCCTGCTCCGCCATGGCCTCCTGAACTGCCTGCTCCGCCATGGCTCCCCGAGCTGCCTGATCCGCCATGGGTCCCGGAACGGGTACCGCTCGGGCCTGCCGTCCCGTGTCTGTCCTGAGGGACCTCCAGAGCGCCCCCCCCCCTCCCCGTTGGATGTTGTGAGGCACGAGGACGCGCCTTCCGGGAAGGGGGAGTAATGTCAGACTCTGTTCCGTGTTTTGTGTCTGTTTTGCTCCTCATGTGTTTCCTTATGCCCATATTTGGTTATGTTCCTGTTCCTGTCCTCATTGTTTCATTATTATTTCATTAGTATTCATCTGTGTTTGTTAATTATCTCGTTTAGTTTGAGTATTTAAGCCCTGTGTTTTCCTGTATCTATAGCGTCCGGTATTAACGTCGATGTTGTGGTTCTTGTGTGTCACTACCTGCCTTGTGTTACCCCTTTTGGATTGTGGATTAAAGACTGTTTTGCCACAGAAGGCAACCGTGACAATTCCATGTCAGAGATATTTATGAAATGTACATGTTTGTCTGACATATTTTGATAATTGAATGGATTGGTTTGCGTGTGAATGGCTCACACTATGAAAGCATGTTTAAAAGTTTTGAAGTGTATGACAGTTTAGCTGAGAATCAATAGTTATTGTGCAAATTGTAGCATGCAGGCTACTTACGCTTTTGCATACATGTGCCAAACCGTGTACAGTTCACTTAAATGAAAAAGAATTTCAAATCTGGTATCTGACAAGAAACTAATTGTTCAGAGATCTGAACGCATTGTTTTGGGGAAAATAATATAGGCTATTCTTGAGCCAAGTGATCAAGAAATGTACAAGACACTCTTTGTCTCCCTCTTATGGTTAACATATGGGTTAGCAAAAGCTGGGATCCACCTAGAGAGGTGTCATCAACCTTGAGGCAAATCTGAGAAAAAAAAATATGACCAAAAAATAAATAATGCATTTGTTGTTTTTCTTCTTACTTCTCAAATGCATTGGGCTGTTGGTTTCATTTGTTCATTTCTTAAAGGGGTCATATGATGCGATTTCAATTTTTCCTTTCTCTTTGGAGTGTTACAAGCTCTTGGTGCTGCTGGCTGTTCTGACTCACAGACTGTAAGTACATTTTTATTTAATTTATTAAATAAATTTTTTAAATTTAAAATTGTTTAATTTATTTAATTTGCCACTGACGATTCAAACACGAGTTTTGAGCAGTGTAGAGTAGCGTTTGTAGTTTGTCATTTCTCCGATCACAAATGCAGACATGGTTTTATGTTTACGCGGAGCGATGCAACGCAACACGTAAAAAGACAGTATAAGTCATTACAATCTGTAATTATGTCCCCACTGGATGCAACAAATGCCTCGTTTATAATGGGGTTT